GGACACACAAGAAGCAAGCAAAAAGAGACGAACGAAAAAAGGGCGAATAAAACGGCAAAGGTGAAGTGGGGGAGAGGAAAACGAGAGGCAAATGGAAAATAACGTAATGCGGGGGATAAGAGTTTGTGATGGGTACTTGGTATGTCTTGAATTGTGTGTAGATCTCCCCGGCAAAGGCGCCAGAAATGGCTAGTTGACAGGATATCAAATCTTGACTTGACTTGGTGCAAATCTCCCCGGCAACGGCGCCAGAAATCCTTCTTGCTACCTCTTGAGCATGTGTTGGTTTTCCCTTGCAGAGTAAAGGGGATGCAACAAAGTAGCGTAAGTATTTCCCTCAGTTTTTGAGAACCAATGTATCAATCCAATAGGAGACTACACGCAAATCCCCTAGTACCTGCACAAACAAATAAGAACCTTGCAACCAACGCGATAAAGGTGTTGTCAATCCCTTCACGGCCACTTGCAAAAGTGAGATCTGATAAAGATAATAAGATAAATATTTTTGGTATTTTTGTGGTATAGATTGGAAAATAAAGATTGCAAATAAATAGTAAACTAAAATTGTAGATTGGAAACTTATATGATGTAAAGTAGACCCGGGGGCCATAGGATAGCATGTATTACGGTGGGTGAACAAATTACTGCCGACCAATTGATAGAAAAGCGCACAATTATGATGATATCTAAGGCAATGATCATGAATATAGGCATCACGTCCGTGACAAGTAGACCGAAATGATTCTGCATCTACTACTATTACTCCACACATCGAGCGCTATCCAGCATGCATCTAGAGTATTAAGTTCATAAGAACAGAGTAACACATTAAGCAAGATGACATGATGTAGAGGGATAAACACAAGCAATATGATATAAACCCCATCTTTTTATCCTCGATGGCAACAATACAATACATGTCGTTTCCCTTTCTGTCACTGGGATCGAGTACCGCAAGATTGAACCCAAAGCTAAGCACTTCTCCCATTGCAAGAAAGTTCAATCTAGTAGGCCAAACTAAACCGATAATTCGAAGAGACTTACAAAGATATAAAATCATGCATATAAGAATTTAGAGAAGAATCAAATAATATTCATAGATAATCAAGTTCATAAACCCACAATTCATCGGATCTCGGCAAACACACCGCAAAAGAGTTACATCAAATAGATCTCCAAGAAGATCAAGGAGAACTTTGTATTGAGATCCAAAGAGAGAGAAGAAGTCATCTAGCTAGTAACTATGGACCCGAAGGTCTGTGGTAAACTACTCACATATCATCGGAGAGGCTATGGTGTTGATGTAGAAGTCCTCCGTGATCGAATCCCCCTCCGGCAGATCACCGGAAAAGGCCCTAAGATGGGTTCTCGCGGGTACAGAAGGTTGCGGCGGTGAAAAAGGTGTTTCGTGGCTCTCCCCGAAGGTATTAGGGTATAAGAGTATATATAGGCGAAAGAAGTAGGTCGGTGGAGCTGTGAGGGGCCCATGAGGGTGGCCCCCCCTGGGGCACGCCCTCCTGCCTCGTGGCTTCCTTGCTGCTTCCTTGACGTCCACTCCAAGTCTCCTGGATTGCGTTTGTTCCAAAAACGATCCTCGCGAAGGTTTCATTCCATTTGGATTCCGTTTGATATTCCTTTTCTGCGAAACACTGAAATAGACAAAATAACAGCAATTTGCACTGGGCTTTCAGTTAATAGGTTAGTCCCAAAAATAATATAAAAAGGTATATTAAAGCTCATTAAACATCCAAAACAGATAATATAATAGCATGGAACAATAAAAGATTATAGATACGTTGGAGACGTATCAAGCTCCGGTCTATGGCATGACATTTACATTGTTCCCGATACTAACATATGACATAAACTAGTTGTGTCTTGTAGTGGGTCTATCTGACTCAACAATTCATGGAAGTGAATCAATTTTATTATATCCGTGTGAGTCACTCAGATCCTATATGAGTCCATACTATCAGGTTAACATCTCTATGAGAGTCATCAACCAAGTCGGATTCTAGTACGAGGATACAAGTTCACATAACCTTATCAACTCTCTCTACACGTGTGTGTGTGTGTGTATGTGTGTGTGGTTATATCAATTTAACCAGTAAGTTCTTATTCCATTCTTAAAAGAGAGTGGTTACATGTGGATCACATTTATTATTAGGTCTAACTGAACAACTTGAAAGAGCATCTAGTTCACCACGACACGACCACAAGCCCAACCCTTCAAAAACGCACTACCGGATGACAGAGAAGCAATACTGTCACGCTAGCATCCAACTAGATTTGAGCATCCATGAATGAAACTAGACCAAATTTGGTTGCCTTGCCACCACCGTCCATGGTGGTCGTGCGGGCTTTCCCACCGGCAACCTCAAGCATCAGCATGAGAGTCTGATGTTGGTTGGAAAGCCTGGGGTGTATATGGTTGTGCAACCATCTAAGTAACACTGGACGTGACAACATGGGGGTTGTGAAAAGGGATTCTACTTTTTTGTGTCCTCGAGATACCAAACATTGGGTCGATACAAAACTGGAAGAGATAAATGTTGGACTAGGAAAATATGAAACTTTGGATGAGAGTAGTCATATCGGTATGGGAAACGCTTGTCTTCGGCGTGCTGGCAAAAGCATGGGTTGGCCGCCTCACGCACGCATCCAACGCGTTTCACTTACAGGCGAGACGTAATCTGGCGGGACCCCGTCTGGTGCCTTATCTCTTCCCCGTCCACTATTTCCTTTCCTTTCTTCCTCATCATTTCCTCGTCTCTCTGGTAAACAAGCTGAGCACCACATCCTACCGATCTGCTGCTTCGGCGAGCTACCTCCTCACCTCATTAGATCCCTTTTCTCCTGCGAGAGCCGCTCACCTCAAGACCCCTTGCCATGCCTGCTGCGAACTATAGCCAGCGGTTGGGGATGATACAAGAAGGGGCAACCAGCGACCACCGGAGTTGCCACGGTTGTCACCGATGCTGCGGTGGCGCAGCCATGATACCATGCCCATGCGGTGGTTGGTGCAGTTTCCAGCGGTGCTACAACCGCGGGGCACTAATGCTGCAACTGGTAGCAAGAGTTGCCGCGACCGGTGACGGAATTTTCTTCCTGGAGGAAATGGAGAAGACGGGGGGGCGGATGCCTTGGTGCTACAACCAGCATCCGGCGTTGCTGGAACGACAACCACCATTTGCTGCAACCGGCAATCATGCAACACTGGAGAGGATGATACGGCGTGCTGGAATCGGTTGTCACCCCGGGCGGCGGCAAAAAGCTGCAACCATTCATTGGTAAAGCTTCAATCTCCCGATGAATTTGCTGAACCGGTATTTAATTTTGCTTGAACCGGGTAATTTTTTGCTACAATCGATCAACGAGAGTTCTTGCTGGTAAGTTGTGTTTGCTAGAACCGGTGTTCAATTTTGCTGGAACCATGTAAATTTTTGCTACAATCAATCACCCGAGAGTTCTTCTTGATGAGTTGTTTTGCTGGAACCGGTGTTCAATTCTGCTGGAACCGAGTAATTTTTTGCTTCAACCGACAAATGGTGGATTTGCTGCTTTCCAAGTTTTTTGCTGGGCACGACTGTGTAAGTCGACGACCGCGACGACACCGGTGGTGCTCCAACCATGGTGAACGTGCGCTGGAGTCGGCCGTGCCGGAGCTGCAATGGCTTGGTTCTCGAGCTATGGACGCGACGTGTGGCGACTGCAAGCTTCAACAGAAGGGTGGCGGGGGGGCTACGACGGTGGTGCTGCAACGAGTAGCGGCGCAAGGGGACGGGGTGCTGCCGCCCCTCGCCGAAGCGCACGCGCATGGGAGCGAGAGCAGAGATGCTCACGGGGAACAGGAAGGAGGGGATTTCCTGCTCACGTTGACCAAAGCGAGAGGAAGGAGATGATTTGGTGACCAGCTATAAATCATCAGATCAAACAATTGGGGCCGACCGGCCCGAAACATTGGCTCGGCGCCCCGGTGCTTAATACTGGCCTATCGGTATGGACCACGTTAGTCAAATGGTAAGCGGCGTGTGTATATAGGGTATAATAATGCATCCAACTCTCAAGGTACGTCACCTATATTCGGAGAACATAAAGTCACATTATCATTCTTAAAAGAGGGGGTGGCCCCGTGTGAGGAACGCATCCTGAGCAAAGACGAGGAGGTTTCCACTCAACCTTTGTCACTCTAGCTATAGTGTATATTAGAAGTTAAGTGTTTCCCTTACCTTCCATATACAACAATAATTTAAAGTTAGAAACACCTGTAAATCACATGGAAACGTAGGGATCACAACGAGTCGAAATAAACATGTCGTATTAGTGACACGTATTTACACTTTCTGTTAACACTTTTTGTTCTTTTCATAAAGGATATTTGTTTGCATTAGCGTTGTCATGCTAAACGAGCATATACATTACACCATTATGTGTTTGTTGTGGTTTCTAGAGACAAGACATGAACACCTAAATAAAGAGAACATGGACGAACAGGTTAACCGTAGAAGCTCATGCAAGATGACAAACAACGTTGCATGGTATGAGGTTCCGTGGATCACACTTCTCTATGTACTCTCAAGAACGAAAACACTTGTCCATACAATGGTAGACCGTCAGAAAAGGTGAACATCTTTTGGACAACAGGAAGTATGACTAACGTGGCGCCGCGGCCGAAACTGCATTATCAGTTCAGCTGAATTTGTACTATATGTCATATCTATCTCGAGTACTCAAGACAGAAAAATCTTGTATCATCCATTTCCAAGACAAATAATTCCGAACGGAGGGAGTAGTATAGTATCAGTGAAATAATATAAACATGAGAGGATCGCACCCTCAACCCATCTCGTTCAGCACACAACCCATGGGTTAGCCATAGCCTCTCCGGCCGTCCTCTCTTCGCCGGTTCCCACAGGGTTAGAAAGTTTAAGCCTTACCATTCCTCGCCCAATTTTGTTCTAATCAATCACCTTTGCCCAGTTCCATTTCGGAAGCCTTCCATGGAGCCCGTGTTCTTCTCGCTGGAGGAGGCGATGCCCGAGCCCGACTCTAACCCCTGCCGGACCGCGTCGCCGCCCCTGGAGGCACACGTGCTCGCCGGAGGACTCGGAGGAGTGGGCGCCGGCAAGGTCGTCGGCGGTGGCGCGACGAACGAGTGCGCGACAGAATGGTGCTTCCACGAGTCCGTGGACGAGCCGTGGCTGCTCAACGTCCCCACCGCGCCAGTGGCGAACCCCGAAGCTTCGACGCTTTACCCTAATCCCACGGCCGAGGGGAGCCGCAAGAGGCCGTACGACGTCCATGAGATGGTGGGCGCGGTGGAGGTCATCCCCACGCCGCCTGCGGCGAGCCCGGAGGTGGACCCCGTGGCGTACAACGCGATGCTGAGACGGAAGTTGGACGCGCATCTCGCCGCCGTCGCCATGTTGAGGGTATGCTACTAATCGAAGTACTAATCGCTTTATTTTAATCATCATAGCAGCTCGATAGTTACAAATGAAGGAAACTTCTGATTTGTGATAAAAAAATCATACACATCAGTTGACTATTTTTTTTCAAGAAAAAATGTCGAACTTGATCAGCGAATTAATATGTATGCAATATTTCAAGATTTGCTAAGGGTGACACCGCCTTTTCTGGAAATAAGTTGAATTTCCTCATATGTGAACCAGCCTATCCATTTTTGTGTCCATCGGTGCTCTGGCGTCATCCCTAACAAGAACAGCTAGCGTTGCACAAAAGAGTCATACTTGGTAAAAGTTCCAGAATGGGTATATTTTTTACTAAATTTTGAAAAGAGGTAAATTTTTGTCAGTTCTCACGAGCTGGAAAAGGCATTGATTAGGAGGGTTGTGGCGACAACAAGGAGAAAGATATTGGAGTTAGGGTTAAGATGTGTGGAATTTTGCATACGGAGAGAAGAGATATAATTTCCACTTTGTTTAAATATTTCCCTCAAAAAATTCTTTGTTTCCCGTATGAATATAGTGTCCCTAAAATATTAATTGTGCATCTTTCATGTTTAACTTTCACTTTTGGCATGTCCACCCATGTACGGAACACTCAGGGAATTTGCCGACAAAGCTCCCATGACAATGGAGCATCGCAAAATCCAGATTCCATCCAAGGCTCGGAAAACCACACCGAAGGTACTCAATTGTGCCTAGTTACGTCTTCACTACTTATGAAACAATATTATGGAATAATATATGCTAAGCTAAGTTGACTGCATCACTTGTTTTCATATATAGTTGTTTCGCTGTACTATTTGTGTGCATATGGGTAATGAGATTCACGTGCAACAAATGTCATATGGTTGTGCAGATGTCAGTGTGCATCAACTTAGCTCTTCCTCATTGGAGCCATCACCATCAGATGGTGATATGGAAGGGGAGGCACAAACAATTGGAACTATGCATATTAGTGCAGAGAAAGCGAATAAGAGGTAAAATATGTTGTATATTTATTTTGTGGTCCTTCCATAAAATCCTACTTTTTCTACTATAACTTGTGTGTGCAATGTTTTTTTCCTTATGTGGAGATATCTGTATTGTTTATCTTTAGTTTTCCCTACATCAATTTTGTTAGTCTCTTTGTGGCTTTGTACTGGATGGAGTTGGCTTATACCTTAGATTTTATCCAAAATTTTGATTGATTTTCATGCACCTTGGCATGTACTTAGGAACACATTTATGATTTTTTATGCATTATTATCCATATAGTTGTACAAATTAATTGAAACATTTCCACGCAATCAACGTTGCATATGGAGGGTGAATTGATATTTGTGTGAGAAGACTCACTAGATATATCTTATTTTGTTGTTGTTGGCGTCTTCATAGTGTGAAACCTGATTTAGCATGGTTAGAATTTTTGGTGGAGCTTGTCGTGATCACAAACTACAATTTTTTTATCTCATGCAGTTTTACCCCTCTTCTTATTGAAATGGGTGTGCATGTCTCATGCACGTTAATGAACATTTTACGTTTAATTACATTGTATGCCAAATACACCAATACCAATTATCATATTTGGCAAACATTTGTGAGCATATATTTTTGTTGTCGTTTAGCCCTCAAGTTCCGCCTTTTAAGCAGATTCCTCATATGATTTCAGGAAAGAATCTAACAGGGATTCGGCGAGACGCTCAAGGAGTAGAAAAGCAGCTCATACGAAGGAACTAGAGGAGCAGGTCTGATATTTTAAACACTATTTTACTTCTCAAGATGAATATTGCATACTACGTGAGCAAGGAATCTGATGACCGCTGCTAAAACAATACAGGTCTCACTATTAAGAGTCGCAAATAACTCTTTGATAAGACATCTTGCAGATGTAAGTCAGAGATACATTAATATCTCTATTGACAATAGGGTACTCAAGGCAAATGTTGAAACCCTAGAAGCAAAGGTATGTCTTGCTTCTACATTGGTGTGTTACATATTGAATTCTGAATTATCCTCTAGCAAACATGTGTCAATGTGCATAGCTACAATGAGTTTCAGTACCCCAATTAAATGTTTAGAGAATTTGAAGGATCAATAGTGTTGACTGGATGGAGGGGTGGAAAGGTGACTATCAAATTATATAAATGATAATATCATTTTAATGATATTGTTGAAATGAAAGGTATTTTAGTGTAATTCTATATTAACAATTGTATGTGATGCGAGCAATCCAGAAAGTTGCAAGAACATCACAAACAATCAAGGCAACTGTGCAAACGAAGTATGAACAAAAATTAATATGCCCGAGAAAATAGGTGCGAAGATGGTGATGTCGACCTGAAGTTCAAATCGTTAGGTGATTCCATGCATCCAATGGAGAGGCATGGGTACCAAGTCTTGATGGCCACAAATGTTTATCCTTCTTCTCCATCAAATTCTTGCATTAAATGTAGTAACGAATCAACTCGTGAATGGTGACAACCAATGCAACGACATAGTAGATTACATTCAGCTCTAAAGAAAGAACAAACATAGTTTCATTGTGGACAATATATTAACTTGTGTAGGTGTTTAACATTTAACATGGTTGCATTGCAGGTAAAGATGGCCGAGGAAACTATGAAGAGGGTTACATGCACCAACAATTTTCCTAAAGCAATATCTGGCACATCTCTCAGGATTCCTTTCAGTGGCTCCCCATTGGATGGTATCTGTGATAATCCATTGCCAACCCAGAACACCTCACTTAGCTACCTCCCCACTACAACAACAGATTTTGCTGTGAAAAACAACTACATCCCCGAGCCAGCTCCGGCGTTCCAGATCCATGATCAAATGTCTTCGCTACATATGCAACCTATGTCATGCCTGGATCATCACCCGCAAATGATGCACATAGGTATTCCTACATCGACACCTACTCCGCAACGGGAATCTACTACATTGGATTCAAATGAAATAGTCAACATGATGATGTAGTAGGAATTATATGAGAGACCTGAGCAGGAATTGTTTTTTTAATTATTTTCATTGTTGTTGTTGACCGTTGGGGGTATTTATAGTGGTTTCTCGGCTTGTTAAGTGGACATTTCTTAGACTTGTTTAAGAAATATCTATTGTTGTTGTTTCAGAATAAGAACCTAGACATAGTTGGTCTCTGATAACCATATATTAAAGGTTATTGGACAATAAAGTGATGTGGTTGAGTCAGACTTTTCATCTTCCTCATATTTCTTCATAACACTTTAATTATCTATGAACAACCCACTATATGGTCGTTTATTTTCTATTAGGACGCTTTTATGGCAAGTTTTACTTTGCATATCTTTCAAAAAAACTTTTCCATATGTATTGTAACTCCATGTGTTTATGGTGTGTTGGAGCCAGGGCCGGTCCTGAAATTTTGGGGGCCCGGGGCGAATCCAAAACTAGGGGCCCCTAGAATAAAAAATATAGTAATAATAAAAGATATATGCACATATAAAATATTACAAATAATCAGTTAAATACATAAAAACAATATACATATGAGATAATTATAGATTTCACCTTTAAAAAATTCTAAAATTCCTCGATGTATAGTCACTAACGATAGGGCCGAGGTCAAGCTCGTCAAATAATTTTCTCTTGATGCATAATTTTTCAAAACCATTTAAACTTCGTAGTGTCATTATTGATCTCAAATAGTTCTTCAATAATTCTATCTTTGAAAAACTTCTTTCGACCGATGCGACAGTTATATGGAACTGTAAATAAGATGACAAGCAACACAGGCATTAAGATAAACGTCGACTTCAGATGTTTGAAAATCACCGTAGTAGACATTACACTATCTGACAAAGTGAAATTGATAATCTTTTTTATTAAAAAAAAGCAAAAACAGATGATCATCAACACTAGCAGTTTGTGTTTGTGCACCTGTTCAAATAATTATACTATTAGGGCTAGTTACATTTTTATCACTGATATTGATATCAACATTTTCGTCTTGTTCATATTCAGAATTCCCGTCAATTTGTTCCTCTTCCTCCACAACAATCCCTGATTCACCATTTGGGATCAACGAAGCACCGGTATTAGTTTTGAAATTTTTATCAAGAGCATCCCTCTGATTGTATCAACTCATCTAAACACCGTATTGTCTGTTTTCAACGTGCTAAAAATAAAGAAAAAATGGCATCAAAGATTAATCTGTGCCAGCTATGCACCATGTATTCAAAGGATAAAATACTTAATCAGTAGTACTAAACTCATCGAGAGTAGGGCGTAGGGACTAGTGGTAATATAATATACCTTAGATGGATCATCGTTGGTGGTATGTAGGGCGTTCAGCGATGAGCCTATAGACGATGTGGCGCTCGATGAATCGGCGATGCCTGTGTGCATGTTCGTCGCCCGAATTAGTCGGGAGAGAAAGCAGCGCCGCCTAGTACTGGCTGCATCTTGCGATCCGGAAGCACAGGAATAGGGATCAGCATCGACGAGGCGGCGAACTGGCGACCGGACTTAAGGAAATAAATTAAGAGAGAAAAGGACGGCGTAGGATCTGGAGATTGCTCCGTGATGAAATAGGAAGGATCGCTACCTTTGCGTGATTCCATGGCACATACTTTAGGCTACAGACCTGGGGAGGGGCCCCTCAATTTTGGGGGCCCGGGGCGACCGTCCCCCCTGCAAATAGGACAAACACGGATCGTACGATTGTGTTGATGCGTGAACAAATTAAATCAAGAGAAGATAAATATCCTCCTAAACCTTACATGCACGACATCCTTGGGACACATCCATTCTCGCCATCCAAAGCTCCACCAGCAAACTGAAGGCAAACATTACCAACCCAAGTGAGATGACGGAGAAGATCACTGAACTTGAAGTTGTGTCGAAGGCTTGCATCAACACGTACTGTTGGCAGGGGCAGGGGCATGGAATCTTACTGGCTGATGAGTCGTGTGCAAGGCTTGCATCAACACTGTGGGCAGGGGTATATGTTGCGAATATACCGTAGTCAAACTAGAACTTTAACACAAATCTGATTAACGGTACGAAGCAAGTTAAGTTGTGTTAATCTATCTCATCCGGCTGGGGTTCGAAGTAAGATCCAAAAGCAGAACACTTAATTTGTTTCAGGTGTGTTAAATCTCATCGGACTTTTCAGGGAGTTTAACTGCATGGGAAGATGCATGCATCCCCTAATTTCTCTCCTTGTAGTGTTAGATGCAATGCTGCAATGCAGGTACTAGACAGAAGTTGGCAGTAAACCAAAGGAACAGATTGGCCTTCAAATTTATGTGCCACAGTGCCAGCATATGAATGAGCATAGTATGGTCCAGAGATATCTTCCATGTTCTCGCTTCATGTGTAGCTCAACTGTAACCATGATAATAAACACTGTTTCACTTCATTAGCACAATTGGGTGGCTAGCGCAGGCCTCATAGCTAGAGCGTGAGTGATCCTTAAGTTGAGAGTTCGAGCTTCTACACTCACCTGTGTTATTAAAAACAACCTAGATGACCCAACTTTATATTAACTTTATATTAAAGTTAGTATAAAGTTGAATCATCTATTTTGGAACGGAGGGAGTAGCTCTGAACTGAACGAACATCAGTTCTGTTGTATTTCTTTTAGACGAAGGCAAAATCTTTACCTCGCCTCATTAATTAAAAACAATTTTACAAGTTACCGAAATGGTTGAAAGCAGCCAAAAGTCTCATAAGCCTACTCTCGCGGCATCAAAGATCTTAAATGCTTAGCCCCCGCTACGCCTCAAAGCGTGGACTCCACTTTAATCCTACTTGCTTTTACACCGGGCCTCACACCAGTACACCATGCTGCCACGTTCCTAAAGACTTGCATTTCTCTCGTTCCTAATCTCCCATGAAGCCAACATAACCATGGACGAGACACCTTTCCTCACACTACTGTTGGCATTTACCATGGAGTACCACCAATCTTTGACCGAGTTAAAATTGCTCCAGTTCTCCAAGTTGATGTGCGCTAGATTAAGCCAATTTTTGATGTCATACCAAATTCGCCTTGTGTATCTGCACTCAGTGG